GTGTATTTATATAGCACATTTATCGTGTATGGCCATATACCCAAAGCGCTTCACGATCATGAGGGGGAGGTGTCTCTCCACACCTCCACCATTTTGCAGCATCCACTTGGATGAATGCGACAGCAGCCACAGGACAACTGCGCCAGTGTGCTCACCACAAACCAGCTATAGGAGACATGATAATTAAGTTATTTGGCCAGGACACCATGGTTACACCCCTACCCTTTACGAGAAGTGTCATGGCCACAATTAAAAGACGATGCTCACTTCACTATGTTGGTGCATTAGGACTCGCACAGACTGCATGTTGAGCGCCCCCTGCTGGCCTCACTAACACCACTTCCAACAGCAACCTACTGTAGATTTCCCATGTGGCTCAGCCCTGCTTAGCTTCAGTGAGTAACCGGTCTTGGGCTGAAGGGTGATATGACTGTGGCACCTTAATCCAACCATCATAAGGGGAAAGGCAAATCGTACTAAAACGTGTGAATTAAATCATACAAATTCATATGAATTAGCCACTATCTCAAAAAGTTAGTCAATTAAAGACTCTTATGAATAGGCTACTATATGCTTTGTGTATAATATATGCATTATAGTATAATATTATAACTGATTGCATTGTCCACTTGTGATTGGATAGAAAAAAACACATCTTAGGTGTGAACAGGGGCTTAGAGGAGACACTAATTAGCTTACTTTCCCATTAAGACATTTTGCACAGTTGAATCACTTCATAAGGAAGCAAAAAAAAAAGTGTGTAATACAAAGAAGTTTAGTGGAGCTCAGTTGTACATTTCTTCGCCTGTGTAAAAGGAAGGTAAATGCTTAGGAGAAAGCGCTGCTGTTCGCTCAACTGTGAAAGTATGCAGTTAGGGTGCGTTTTTACACTGTCGCCACTGATCTGAGTTTATTGGTATTCTTCAGAACCTTCAGGCCCACTTTGAGAGCTGAGAGTCCCAGCAGAGTTAATTAGGCTTTATATTGCTTACTGAAGCAGCGAATCTGTGGCTACACATATCAGAACCCGCTCCACACTCAACAACACGCTTCCATCACAAGGCACGCCAGCACACTAAATCCATCAAGGATTTCCAAAGCCGATAACTGCTGAGGATTCATCCACTGAGCCACGTTTGAAGGACGTTACAGGAGGAAAAAAGAAAGAGGGATATAAATAATTCACACTTACACAATATGAAAAGAACAGAAATGAAAGTCCAACGGCCCGAGTTTGGGCCTGTAGAACACCACTGCATATGGCTTTGTTTTTGCTCATTAATTTGCTGGACCGGCGCAGAGATTTTGGTCCAAAAGCAGAAATTAATTGCTATTAAATGACAGCAGAAGGATAATTACGAATGCATGAATGCACACAGCGTTGTTCTTTCAGGTTAAAAGTAATATAATCACAGGATTTGCAAAAGTTTTTCAAGTTATGATGTAAATTCTTTTGAAAGACATTCAAGAGTTTTTAGGCACTTAAAGGGACAGATCAACCCGAAATTAACACATGTATCATTTTGCATTAGGAATGTCATGCTCAGGGCTGAATTTACCAAAGGACATTTTTGGCACAGGTTCGAAGGTCGTGCGCACTTGGGGCCCCTGTTGGGGGGCATGCCGATTTAGAAGTGTTTATAGCACACCGTGTTGGAATAAACTATTTGAGCGATTTCTGTCCATCAGTGTTTGATTAACAGAGCACCACTTTTAACAGCTTGAGTGGTGTAGCTTGTTAAATGCACGGCAACATGTTTTGACCATAGAATGTAAAAAGATATGCACGTAGTACCGTGACGTCACCCATAGGTTTCTGAAGAACGTAAAAGAAGCTACACATAGACGTGGCCAATCATCGCCATTTTATTTGCGCGTCATCGCACCAACCGGGGAATACCAAACAAGGGCAAAGAGCCTGCTAGCATTTAGCTTAGACAGGTTTTTCTTTGGGAGAAATGCTTAATACTTCATTTTCTGTAACTCGTTTGTGTTCTGACCACATGTACTTAGTTATATGCTATATCAATAAAGTGTTTCGTCTTTTAAAAACACTGTTGTAATACACTGAGCCACTAAGAATTGTTTAAGACATTTTTCTACAGGAGGAAAACGCAAATTACTTCCAAACACTTCAAATGAAAAAGCGGAATTTCGATGAATTGCAGTTTCAGTTACTTCCGTATTTGCTTCACAAGGGAGAGCGGGAGGTTACGACTTGGTTTTAACGCAATCGATCATCAACCCAGTTCAAATCCAGCGTGTGATGAACTATTTTTTTCTTTTTTCCCCATTACAAATTAGATCGAAAATACATTTATTTTATTAAAAAAATATATATATATTTTTTTAAATATGAAAATAATGAAAAAGTCACAAGTGGCTCGACAACCAGTTAAAGTCAGAATTATTAGCCCCCCTGAATTATTAGCTCCCCTGTTTATTTCCCCAATCTCTGTTTAATGGAGAGAAGTTTTTTCAACACATTTTTACACATAATAGTTTTAATATCTCATTTCAAATAACTGTTTTTTTTTTTGTCTTTGCCATGATGACAGTAAATAATATTTGACTAGATTTTTTGGAAGACACTTTTATACAGCTTAAAGAGACATTTAAAGGCTTAATTAGGTTAATTAGATTAACTAGTCAGGTTAGGGTAATTAAGTTATTGCATAACGATGGTTTGTTCTGCAGACTATCGAAAAAAATATATATAGCTTAAAGGGGCTAATATTTTGACCTTAAATAGGTTTTTAAAAATTAAAAACTGCTTTTATTCTAGCCAAAATAAAACAAATAAGATATTCTCCAAAAGAAAAAATATTATCAGACATACTGTGAAAATTTCTTTGCTCTTTTAAACATCATTTGGAAAATATTAAAAATAGAAACCAATTCAAAGGGGCTAGTAATTCTGACTTTCCTCTTACCAAATAGTTGCCACTTATTATTACTATTATTATTATCTTTATTGTTAAATTGTCCGAAAATAACACCATCAATGAAAAGCACGTTTTCATTGCAGATTCATCAGCAGATTTTTTTTTTCTCTTTCTTTCTTTCTTTCTTTCTTTCTTTCTTTCTTTCTTTCTTTCTTTCTTTCTTTCTCTTTCTTTCTTTCTCTCTTTTTTCAACTAAACAGAATGTTGTAGTTGTATTAATTTTTTTTATCAGTGTGCTGTAAATGCTTTAAAAATAAGTTAAATCTTTGTAGACTAGAATTATATGTACTATATAATTTATTTTAAAATGCAGGCAATACAGATTCGTTTTATTTAAAAATCATTATATTATTCTTATTTTTTAATTCAACTATAGGGGTGCGGCCGGGTAAGGGGCCCTACAAGACAATGTGCCCAGAGGGCTCTAAATTCTTAATCCGGGCCTGGTCATGCTCTATTTGCAGTGGCTCTTGATTACAGGTAAATATGTTTAAAAATCTTACATCACAGATAATAACCGAGTTTGTTATCAGAAGCAATGGGGGTATCATTACTTTTTTTTTACCAGTATATCAATGATCTCAAACTCGACTCCTGGAGGGCCAGCTCTGCACAGTTTCGCTCCAACCCAAATCAAACACAGATGATCCAACTAATCAAGGTGATTAGGACTACTATTGGCTATTAAGCAGGTGAGTTGAAGGTGGTTGAAGCTAAACTATGAAGAGCTGTAGCCCTCCTGGAACTGAGTTTCAGACTATTGCTGTATACTTTTTTGACTCTCGAAGTGCAGGAGCCACTGGTTGATAATAAATAAATAAATAAATAGATAAATAAATAAATACTTTGGTTCTTAATAAAAAAAATCCTAATTCACATGAGGCCTCTAAGTGTGCAAAAAAAAAAAATTTTGCATACTACCTTTAATTGCAGTTAAATTATACAACTGCTCAATGAATTACACTTAGTTTTCATATTTTTATTTATTTTATGCCAAATTCTACAGATTTTCTGAAATGTCTCAGTATGTTTTCTGTTTGGTGAGTCAATCATGTCATTGTTAACATAATTTCTTGCATTTTTATTATTACTTACAATGTCACACAGCCTCTGGTTAAAGGTATAAACCAAGCAAACTGGGATTGATTGCTTCATATCATTCAAACGGCTCTTTCTGTCTAAGTGGGCGTTCTTGACTAAAATAAACTATCGACCCGACCTTTTGCAGTCTAGTCAAAGGTCTGGCTATATGCGAGACAACCATATATACCTTATAACACTCACATAAACAATAATATCGTTTAAAGAAGTGTTTGCAAAATGATTGGCCAAATCACAAGCCTTTTAAATCCCAATGAGCACTTCTTAAGTGTTTTTGTAATATTAGTTTTCATTATGTTTGTGAAAACCAAACCCACACACAGGCTGAAAGCATTTTAGGAATCCATTGCATCAGTGTCTTGCATCACACAAAAGATTAAAACAGATAAACATTACATGATCTATGAAAAAAAAATAATAATCTCTATGTGCGCCAGTTTAGCTTACTTCATATGCGTAAATACTTTCTGGTTTAAGCCTGACAATTTGCATTATGTATCAATGTGAGAGATGTCTTATACGACGTTTTAATGTCATGTTTAAATGAGGATGGCAACAGGGCTCGTGAATGACTTTGTAAATCAATTACCTTGTCCCCATTTCTATATTGGCTCAGGTAAGCTGCGGCACGCAGAGTGAGACCACTATAAACTAAAGGTGAAATCGGCGCGTTCTCGAACAGTGTGAGGGGCGCGAAAGCAAGCATATACTGCCTCTGTGCGTCTTGCGCTCTCTCTGCTCCACGAACACCGCTCGCTCGCGCACGCGGCACCAGAGAGCGCGAGACCTGGCAGCGGAGAGACCTCGGGGAGGGAGAAAAGGAGTGTGCTAGTGTATGGAGAGAGCGAGAGAGAGAGAGAGAGAGAGAGAGAGAGAGAGAGAGAGAGAGAGAGAGAGAGATTGGGAAAAGACTACACCACCTCTATCCATCAGCTGAGCATCCTGCGGGAAGTCACTTCGAGCGCGCGAGCGGTCGGTGCGGCATTTCACTCCGTCCGAGCAAAATGGATCATTAAACAGCGCAGGATGTGACTGAGGGACACATAAGCAACTAAACTCTTATTTTTTGCGCCTCCGGTCACCCTGGTTATACCACAAATATTGTATTCTTTCACGTGGGTTCTTGTTTGCCTTTCTTCATTAATGTGCGGATTTTTCGGCGAACACTTTCGAAGTGATGTCAGGAGGAAATGTGACAAATATAGCCGAATGAATAGAAAGTTAAAAGATTTTTCATGGGTAAGTAACAAAGAACACAACTGCTGAAACGAGTTTGCTGGATTTTATCTGAATGCGAATTTACCATTTTTGCAATAATAATGATTGATCGTGACTTGTTTATATTTTGCGATATGTCTTCATGCGCATCTGTGAATAAATGTGGTTAACAGTTAAATACTTGGTTGTAGAAAAGAAAGAACTACAACATTGGCCGTGTGTAGTGACCAATGTTTTGTAGCGTTTTATAGCTTTGCATAAAAGCTCAACAGGTTCGCATCTGTTTCAAACTGCAGTTGCTCAAGGGCTCTTGTGTCGCGAGCACAATCGTGCCCTTTGGAGTCTCTTACTTGAACTAGGAAATCAGTTTTTTTTTTTTTCTATCTCTCTGTTTTAAGAAAGGCATGATGTATGCTGTTTATGTTGAATGCTACACGTAAAACCAACTTAACAGTTTTGTGTTTTTTTTAACTATGCTGTTGATGCTTAGCATTTGTTTAAAACAGTACAGCTGTGCCAGAATACAGTACAATAGTGTTGGAATATACATGAATGCATAGTATGGACTGTAATTAATCTATAAGATATGGACAACGGTTTTGTTAATTTGCTTTTGCTTGTGTTTTTTTCCTTTCTTTTCCATTGCATCTGTACCCCCTACCTCTCCTTGTCTTTCATTTTTCATACTTCTTTTTACTGTACACTACGTGATTGCTTCCCTTTTACCTCTGCCTCTCTATTCTGCTGGCATCCTGTTCACTCTTGCCGTCTTTTCACTCCCATTTCACATCTGTCTCACTCGCTCCCACTGGAACTCTCTCCTCTTCCTGTCCTCCCACATTTGCCAACCTCTCACTCTTGTCTGTGTTCCCATTTCCCTGTCTCTCTCTATGTAGATGGGGTCTAATCTAATGTCAAGCTGGTTGTGAAGGTGTTTGATCTGGTCCCCTCGACCCCATCCGGAGTCCCCATGGCTGCAGGAGTAGCAGCCTGGCTCCCCTTCGCTCGGGCGGCGGCCATAGGATGGATGCCCGTGGCCAACCTGCCTATGCCTGTTGCACCATCCAATAAGAACAAGCGACAGGATGAGCTTATTATCCTCAACGTCAGCGGGCGACGCTTCCAGACATGGCGGAACACGCTGGACCGATACCCCGATACACTCCTGGGGAGCTCAGAGAAAGAGTTTTTTTTCAACGAGGAGACAAGGGAGTATTTCTTTGACAGAGATCCAGATGTGTTCAGAAGTATTCTTAACTTCTACCGCACAGGGAAGCTGCACTACCCACGTTACGAGTGCATCTCTGCCTACGATGAGGAGCTGGCGTTTTTTGGAATCATTCCTGAGATCATCAGCGACTGCTGTTATGAAGAGTACAAGGACCGCAAGAGGGAGAACACTGAGCGTCTAATGGATGACCTTGAGGACAACAAAGACAGCAAACTCCCTAACATGACTTTCCGTGAGACCATGTGGAGGGCCTTTGAGAACCCGCACACTAGCACCATGGCACTAGTTTTCTACTACGTAACCGGATTCTTCATCGCCCTGTCCGTCATCACCAACGTGGTTGAGACGGTTCCTTGTGGTTATATGCCAAATCAGAGGGACGTCCCTTGCGGGGAACGCTACACTGAGGCGTTTTTCTGCATGGACACAGCTTGTGTTATGATCTTTACAGTGGAGTATCTGATGCGACTGTTTGCGGCGCCCAGCCGGTACCGCTTCATGAGAAGCGTGATGAGCATTATCGATGTGGTCGCCATTTTACCATATTACATCGGGCTCGTCATGACCAACAATGAGGATGTGAGCGGAGCCTTTGTCACACTACGGGTGTTCCGCGTCTTCCGGATCTTTAAATTCTCCCGCCACTCCCAGGGTCTCCGAATCCTTGGCTACACACTGAAGAGCTGCGCCTCAGAGCTTGGCTTCCTCCTCTTCTCCCTCACCATGGCCATCATTATCTTTGCCACAGTCATGTTCTATGCTGAGAAAGGCTCATCGTCCAGCAAGTTCACCAGCATCCCGGCCTCCTTCTGGTACACCATTGTAACCATGACAACACTGGGGTGAGTCATTTTGTCTTGGAATGACTTTCTCTCTGTATATTTTTACACTTTTTAACCCTGGGCGGACATCAAGCCACACCCCTGATGCATTTCAGTGGTTAAGTCATGAAGGGATAGTTCACCAAACACACTCAAAAATGATGTGGAAAATGTGTACCTTTAGGGATACTCTCAGAAAAAAAGGAGCAAAAGCTGTCACTGCAAGCGGGGAAGTACCTTTTCAAAACAAAAAACACTAATATGTACAAATTGGGTAAAAATATCTGAAATTTTAGGGGTTAATTTGCAAAGGTCAAAACATTTGTACCTTATTTTAAGCATTTTATAGGAGTTTGTTACAGGTGCAGCACATTTGCAAGAGACATCCTTCTACCTGATTAACCCCTAAAATCTTCATAGTAGTACCTTAAGAGTATACAGTATATAACTATTTTAAGCTACTAATATGTACCTTTTATTAGTACACCCTCAGAAATAAAGGTACAAGAGCTGTCACTGTGGTACCTTTTCAAAAGGTACACATTTGTACTTGCAGGGTGCATATTGGTACCTCAGAAGTATATATTAGTACTAACACATTTTAAGAGGAACACGCTTGTACTTTTTAGGTACCAATATTTATCTTTGAGGTATTAATATGGACCTCTTAGGTACAAATTTGTACCGTTTGAAAAGGTACCACCCCAGTGACAACTCGCGTACCTTTATTTCTAAAAGTGTAGATGATGGAAAATTTGACCTTGCAATGGTATCGTCCAAGTGACAAGCTTAAGTATTCCTAAAGATACAGCTTTTCTCTCAGTTAAAATAAAACAAGTCTGTCATGACTTACCCTAATGTTTCAAAAGTGTATGATTTTGTAGCATGAAAGGTTTTGAAGAATGTTTTTATTCATACAATTAACTAGTATTGAGTGGATTTGAGCTCTACTGGCTTCAAATGAATAAAAAAGCTCTTTAGAATATCTCCTGCTGTGTTACCCAGAGGAAAGTTAAGGCCCAGTCCTATTTCTGCCCATTCTCATAACCATTTTTAGGTAGGTATCTACAGTAGATTCTCTTTTGGTGAGATGAGTATGGGGTAAAGGGAAGTGCCAGATAGCCCTTCAAAGATTCTTGGACCTAATATTAAAGGAAAGTGAATGGTAAATTCCCTGGAAATTTAAGTACACTTCTCGTCACTCTGTGAGAAGGAAGAGGTGTTGGAGTAGATGAAGGAGTATAACCTAGAATTCAGATTGGGCCTTAGTCAAGCAGGTTTGGAACAAAATCTTTGGGTGAACTATCCCAGTAAGTAGGCCCACTCTTAAAAATAAAGGTATAAAAACTGTACCCAACACTTTTGCACATTTATGTACACTTTAGGTAATAAAACATCCCTTTAAGGCATGGGTCTCAAACTCAATTCCTTCAGCTCTGCACAGTTTTGCTCCAACCCTAATCAAACACAGCTGATCCAAATAATCAAGGTGTTCGAGTAGTCTTGAACACCTTGATTAGTTGAATCAGCTGTGTTTGATTAGGGTTGGAGCAAAACTGTGCAGAGCTGCGGTCTCCAGGAATCCAGTTTGAGACCTATGCTTTAAGGTACCAGTATTAACCGATTATGTACAAATGTGTAATTTCTAAAGGTACAAAGACAAAAACAGGTTTTTTACCTTTATTTTTGAGTGTATATACAAGATTTAAAAAACACAAGAGCAACATAAAAGAACACAACTGTTTACAATATAGCATTACACTCCATCTGTGAAAGAGAGGCTGTTTCCCTGCAGCTTGTGGATTTTCCTTCTTTTCTGAGTTAACTGCTATTAGCATCTAACCCTAATGACCATGGTTGCTGACTGCACTCATGCCTGCCCGAAGCAGCGGTAGGTTTGAATTTAACTTCCTGCCCCAGGCTAGATTTTATTCATCCCTATTATGCACCAATTAATATTTAAGCATGTGTGAAGCAAACAGAGGAACATCCTTCAGCATTTTCCCCTCCACATTAACAACAGGCAAGCAGCTGCAGAGCTGTAGAGCCCCATTTAATACAACCCGCCCCTCATAAATTACAGGCCGTTTATTTGTGTGTTCATGACGGATATGTGTGGACGTTTGACACGATTGGTTTTAAGAGCAAGGGTAGAATTAATTCAAGCAATTAGTTTGAGTGATTACATGGCGGATGACTTGAGTAATCGACTTTATACTATCAGCAGCTAGGGTATATAGCTGCCGTGTCACTGTGGCTTTGAAACTGGAGCTGTAGTCAAAACAGGCTTTGGCTTGCTGGTTAGACGGTTGATCATTGGCGGAAGCACCTGACCGTGAGCCCAATGACCCCAAAACATCAAGATCAAGGACTTCAGTCAGTATCTCATGAATGTTACATTGGCAAATGGTTTGGTCCTTGGAGAATGCAGTTGTGTCAGGGGTCAAATGTAGAATTACAGTTACACATGTCTTACGTATTCATGCTTTCATTTTTTTGTGTAAACTACAGTTTGTGAATGGCCAAACCTCTTAAAGATCCTTGTGAGCACCATGTTGAACTATAAACCCTAGGTATCATGCTTGTTGTGATAATCTGCTGTCTAGTTTTACATGGATTTCAAAGTAGCCCATATCTCATTACTCATTACTACATTCACCCCAGAGATCCAGTCTCCACCCGCATCTAAGACTTGACCTGAGATCGAGGGCGAGAGAGACTCTTCTCATCAATAAAACACAGCTTAGAAGTGTGTGTCACTGTGACTAATGTTCTCAGGTACATGTGCTGAACAATGTAAACCACTATGACATTTCCAACCTCGCTGACGTCATGTAGTCTCACTGTCTGTGCGTGGGGGTGCTTCCCATTCAGTTGGAACCAGGGTTCGCTTTCACGTTCCAGCAGTTTTTTACAGTTGATTGTACCAGGTTTGTATCACTTTGCAATACACCTGTTGATTCTGAGGCCTCCTATCTGTGCTCCTGACCAATGCAGTGGTGTGCTTTACATGCCTGGTGCTTCTCTTATTCAATGATTCGTTCATGCTGAAGTGCGAGATACTGGGGTCTCCACCTCAATCTGTCAGAGTGAAACGCAGCACTGCAGTTCAGTTTTGGTGAGACTGAGACATTCTCTTTACATGTAACACACAGACCTGCTGCCTCATGAACACACGCCTGATACTCTGCATGTTAGCTAGGGGAACTACAGCAACAGTTCATCAAAAAAACTCATGCCTATATTGTGTCTGAATGGTTAACTAGTCTTCTCAGTACTGTCGTCTGTCTGAAGTGTTTTCTTCCTTCCTGGGAATTGTTTACACCAGTAACATTTAATTTAGCTGCTCTACTGTTGAATTTCATGGCTCTGTGTTTTGTCTTGGCAAGACAGCACACTAAGAGCTGAAAATAAAGCAAAAGAAAGAGGAAAGAAATGTATTGCTTGGACAATGTGCTGTCTTAGTTTTAGAGAGTTTGAGTTTTTCGGGTAAAGTCAATTTTGTGGTACTTTTGTATAAGGAACGCATTTACTATTAACTACAAATTCTCCTAATAAACATCTTATTCACTAAATATTAATTGGAAGGTAGCTGTTGTAGCACTTTAAAATATTAATTAACAGCTGCATATATGTTGACATTTTAACTCCACAATTAATAGTCACTTTAATTTACTGTTTTTTTTTTTTGTTTGTTTTTTAAGTTTGGGGTTAGTAGGATTTTTAAATGTTTTAAATTAAGCTTATCCTGCTCACCAAGACTGCATTTATTTCAGCAAAAATACAGTACAAATTGTAAAATTGTAAATGTTATTGCGCTATAAAATAACTGTTCAAAAGTAGTTTATAATTTCATTTAATCATTTAATCCAGTGATTTTAATAACACATTTTCAGCTTGATTACTGCAGTCTCTTCAGAGCCACATAATCCTTTAGAAATCACTCTAATATTAATTGTTATTATTGTTATTATTATTATTATTATTATTAAGGGTAATTTTTATAAAAGCAACAATGACTGGAGTAATAATTTATTTTGAAACTTTATACAATAAGAAAGCAGTTATTTAAAATCTTTATAAATATTTAACAATCTTTTTTTTCTGTTGAACCCAAACGAATATATTTTAAAGATTGTTGGAAATATAAAACCATTGACATTCATAGTAGGAAAAACATACGAAGGAAGTCAATGGTTACATATGTTTTTCCTACAATGGATGTCAATGGTTACATGTTTACAAAAAAAAAAAAACTCATTTGGAACAAGTCAAGGGTGAGTGAATGATGTCAGAAATTTATGTCTAAACTATTAACTCAAGGAATGTAACATTTGGTTGTGCAGTATTAGGCATTAATAAGTGCTTTATAATTGTTGATAAATAGCCAAAATAAATGCTAATAAGCAACTAGCTCAAAGGGAGACAACAATGTCTTAATATTTTGTGTAAAAACCACCATTCTTCTAACTTCCCGTGAATGCACTAATATTAATATAATTTATTTTTATAAGACTTGTTTTTTATAAGCTAGTAATTGTTTATGTGTTCTTGCTGATTACTTTTGTCATCAATTAATAGTCATGTAAAGTTTATTTAAATGTTAAAAAGGGGAAACAAGCTGCACAACTGAATTAAAATTACAATAAAATATGTACTGGCAAACATCAATAAATAGATCTGACAACTACATCACAACTAGGCATGGGCTAGCATAAGTTTCTGACGGTATGATAACCTTGGGTAAAAACATCACAGTTTCACGGTATTGTGAATACCGCTCTAAAATATATTCTTTTTTAATTGTCTGGGTAAAAAACAAAAAGCTTTACACAATATAATTTATGGTAAAGTGAACCTGAAGCTGCAATTTTTATTGTTTTTGTATAGTGACGCAGTTCCCAGAGAAACTGAATTTTAAAGGAGCAAACAGTGGGCGTGGCTTGTTTTTTCTACTGAAAGCTGAATGGATGTAATGTAGGCATTTCATTAAAAAAATCAGGAAAGGGGTTTTAGAAAAGTCATTAC